AAATTTTGATTCTTTTTTGGCCTAGATCCAAGAATGAGCACATCCAATGAGGTAAGTAAAATAATTTATATATATATATATATATATATATATATATATATATATATATATATATATATATAGATATATATATCTTATAAATATGAAATATAATTAATATAACTGAAACTTTATATATGGGGCGAATAGAGAGTTATGTGGGAAGAAGTATCAGAAATGGAGAGGCCAAGAAGAACCCAACTTCTTTTTATTGAGAGAAAGGAAAATTGAATTATTCGTCGCTTGCCACGCTCGAAACCCAATCGATGGGATACGGTAATAACAAATTTTATCTTTTAATTAATTTGACTATATGATAACCGATTTAATTATATCGAAAAAAAATCGTGACTTTTTTTTCATCCTATTGATTTTTTCACACGCCCTCCCCAATTTGTTTTGGAAAAAATAGTTAAAAGGGGTTTTATGCTAATAAAAATCACATAGGAAATATTTTTAATATTTTTTGTTATGATTTCAATATTACGTCCATCTGAAGACGGACATACAATTTCGATCCCTAATAGATTCACATACCTTCATTATTCATGGGATTATACCAGAGCGTCATAAAGCCAAAACAAAGGGAGACGACGAACGCAACAACACTACGGTAACTACTTAATTAATTAACTCACCTAAATCTTTTAGAGTTTATGTACTCTGTGATAAATAATATTAATAGCATGTATATATTATTATTACCGGAGACTACGACTCCTCCGTCTCGCAAAGTAAGAGGAGATAGATTGTTGAAGCGCGTACTAGTCGGTTACTACAATCTTAGTACACACCAGATATTTCGAAACGAAATCTCTTGTGTGGAAGGTGATACTAGTACTCTGATTGGCAACGGTAAGAAAAAAAGTGAAATTTATACATAATCATTTAATTTTTAATTCATTCATCTTATAAATGCTTTAAATACGATTTTTTCGACTAATTTAGAAAAACAATTTGGGTTGTTTTATAGGGAAGAGAAAGAGAGAGGAGGAAGGACCAAGTCAAGTCAACCAAGTCAACCATCTAGTTTATAGTCTTTATGATTTTGAGCCCATTGTTTAGGATGTTTTTGTATCATTTTTTATTTAGTTTAGGAAAATATGTACTTTGATTTTCTATTGTTATTATAAACTCTGAAATGTAAGGGTGTTTTTGTATTTCTATAATTCTATATATATTTTTTGAGCGAGGCAAACGACGAAATATCCAATTTTCTTTTCTCTCAATATAAGAAAGTTGGGTTGTTCTTGCCTTCTCCGATTCCGGTGCTCCTTGCCATAATACAATCTAATCGCCCCATATAAAAAGTTTGAGTTATATTTCATATTTAAAGTATATATATATATATATATATATATATATATATATATTATAAATAGATCCGATGGCACTTGATATATATACAATTCAACAAATACCATCTCTTTATTTATCCCTCCATTTACAACTATATAAATTTTCTTTCTTTTCTGCAAATTCATACACTTAAAAGAAATGGCATGTGAACAAAATTGAGATCTTGAATCGGTTCATGTTTATGCCGATGAGCAAGAACAATTGGAACGAGCATCGACGCAAAACCCATATTTAGTGCAGATGTTCGTTATGAGTTATTGCTCATGATATCAATAAAAACATGAATTATTTCAAGATTTTGATTTTGTTCGACTTCCGTTTCTTTTAAGTGTATGAATTCGCAGAAAATAAAAACGGGTTATGTGGTTGAAAATATTAGCGTATATATTTTATATATTACGTATACTATTATTATTCTTATTTATTATAGTTACCTTGTATAATAGGTTACCTTGTGTAGTAGTTTAGGGTTTCCTACAATCTTGGATCTACTGTACCATCTCCGACGATCTATCGAGCATGGTTCTCTCATAAACCTCCACCGCCAGTGATCTATGGACCGCCATCTCTTCTCTCTTCACCGATAACGAAGATTATCGAGCCATTCAACTTGAAGAGAAATTCAAGTCCCTCAAGAAAGGCACTCTCTCCATTCACGATTATTGCCAAATAATCAAAACCACGGCGGACAACTTGGCCGATGTCGGAAATCCAATCTCCGACAAACAACTCGCCCCACAAACCCTACATGGCCTTCCAAAAAATTACGGGACCGTCGCCAACCTCATCTCCTTTCAGAATCCCCTTCCCACCTTTCTACAGACTCGATCGCTTCTACAGATGGAAGAAACAAGAATTGCTGAACCGGAGCAGACCGCTGCTGTTTTCTACGCCTCCAACGCGAACTATCCATCCAACAGTTGCAACGGTTCCTGCAACAGTTCCCGAGGCGGTAGTTCTTCGCGCTATCAGCGCGGGGGTGGCCGATCCAACGGTCGCGGAGGTCGCTGCACTAACCGTCAGCCCATGCAGCACTACGGCTACCATAATGCTCATGGCGCATCTCAACTCTGGCGCGCACCTTACCGACAACCGTCAATTCTGGGATCCGCTCCAAATACACCGGGCCACCCATCCACTCCAGCGGCTCAAGCCTACTTTACTGGACCACCTGAACCCTACACCGGCCACTCGACTCCTACTCAGGTTCATCCGCAGCAGCAACCATGCCACAACTCTAACAGTTCCATCAACAGTTGCAACAGTGACAACGTGGTGGATCTCGCAAACCGTTTGAATACGGTGACACTTCAACAGCCTACCGAGTCACAGTGGTTCATGGACAGCGGGTCGACCTCTCATATGGCACCACACTCAGGTAATTTCAATTTTGTTTTTAATCCTGGCTGTAATTTCCCCAAACATGTCGTCGTCGGTAATGGTTCCACCCTCCCCATAACCCACATAGGCCACACAATTCTTCCCACCTCTCCCTTCCGCCTCACAAATGTCTATGTCACCCCCAATATCGTCAAACACCTTATCTCTGTTCAAAAGTTCACCCGCGATAACTCATGTTCAGTTGAATTTGACTCGTTTGGTTTTTCTGTGAAGGATCTTCAGAGTCGAGTCGAGATTTTCAGGTGCAATAGCTCCGGTGACCTATATCCATTTGGCGTCCCTCCCCCCACCTCACCTCCCGCTGCTTTCCTCACTGTCGCAACACCTTCGGCTCGCACTCTTTGGCATCGGCGTCTAGGCCATCCCGGCAAACACGTCATGTCCTGCTTATTTTCTAGCACTTTTGTTTCCCATAATAAAGACCCTAGGGAGTCTCTTTGTAATGCCTGTCAATTAGGCAAACATTTTCGTCTACCATTTTTTTCTCAAAAATCTACTATTGTTGCTCCATTTTAAATTATTCATGCTGATTTATGGACTTCTCCTGTTTCTAGTCTTACGAGTTTCAAATATTATCTTGTGTTAGTTGATGATTTTACCCATTATATATGGACTTTTCCTCTTCGAAATAAATCTGACGTTTTTACAACCTTTGTCAATTTTCATACACTTCTCAAAACTCAATTCCAACATCCCCTGAAAGCCTTACAAAGTGATAATGGTCGTGAATTAAAAAATGCGGATTTTCAAAACTACTTCACTATACACGACATCCTAAATCGTTTTTCGTGTCCCCAGACCTGCCCTCAAAACAGACACGCAGAATGAATGATCCGCACTATAACTAACATGATTCGATCCCTCATCTTTCAAGCTCATCTTCCTCCTACTTATTGGGTCGAAGCCCTTCATATGGCCACACACCTACTCAATATCTTACCTACCAAAACCACACAAAACCGGACTCCTCACGAAGCTCTTTACCTCATCAAACCTACATACTCTCATCCTCGAGTATTCGGCTGTCTCTGTTATCCCAACCTCACCGCCACCACACCACATAAACTCGCCTCCCCGTTCTACTCCTTGTGTCTATCTCGGTCACCCTTCCTCTCACAAAACCTATCGTTGCCATGATAGATCCACTAGCCGAATCATAATTTCTCGTCATGTTACATTCGACGAAACTCACTTTCCTTTTGGCGAGTCCACTCCCCCCAAAAAGACACTTCCTACCTCTGCCTTGGACGAAAACACACCCTCCCTATTCCTCCTCCCTCAGACTTCGTCTAACTGTTGCAACAGTTCCTCCAACTGTTCCAACAGTGAACCACCCTGTTCCAACAGTTCGTCCGACAGTCCTATAACACAGCCAACAACTGTTTCTCATGCAGCACCACCTCTCGACCACGGCCAACTCACAACCCCTTCTCATACTTCCACATCTCCTTCTCCTACTCCCACACCTCCCCCACCTCCCCCTGCTCACCGTATGGTGACTCGTAGTAAAGTGGGCATCCACAAACCCAAAGTCCCTTTCTCTCTCGTTGCGTCCTCTACCTCTTCCATTCCCACCAACTATCGCCAAGCTCTTCTTGACCAAAATTGGCGAAACGCCATGATTGAGGAATAAACTGCTTTAATTAAAAACAATACTTGGAATGTTGTGCCCCGCCCCCCGTTCACTAATGTTATTTCTGGTAAGTGGATATACAAACAGAAACTTAAGTCCGATGGCTCATTTGAGCGATACAAAGCACGGTGGGTTGTTCGTGGGTTTCACCAGCAGGCTGGCATCGATTTTGACGAGACTTTTAGCCCTGTTGTCAAACCAGCCACTGTTCGAACAGTTCTCAGTATTGCTCTCTCGCGATCATGGCCAATCCACCAGCTTGATGTGAAAAATGCCTTCTTACATGGAAATCTCTCTGAAACTGTCTACTGCGAACAACCTCCCGGATTCGTCGATCCATCTCGCTCCACTCACGTGTGTCGTCTCAACAAAGCACTCTACGGTCTCAAGCAGGCACCAAGTGCTTGGTTCAAGCATTTTGCATCTCACATTACTACCTTGGGGTTCAGAGAATGCAAGTCCAACACTTCACTCTTTGTGTACTGTCGCAACAGTTCACGCGACTGTAGCAACAGTTCATGCAACTACCTTCTGCTGTATGTCGATGACATTGTACTTACGGCCTCCACACCTGAATTGCTCCGCTCTATCATCGCTTCCCTTAATCAAGAGTTCGCAATGAAGGATCTTGGCGATCTTCACTACTTTCTCGGCATCTCAGTTACTCGCTCGTCGAATGGGCTATTTCTCTCTCAACGCAAGTACGCCGACGAGATACTAGAGCGTGCATACATGGCTTCCTGCAACCCTTGTCTTACGTCGGCTGACACAAAGAGCAAGTTGTCTTCGACCACTGGACCCCCCGTTGCTGACCCTACTCTTTATCGCAGCCTTGCCGGTGCACTGCAATACCTGACGTTTATTCGTCCCGACATCCGCTATGCTGTGCAACAAATATGTCTATTCATGCATGATCCGAGGGAACCTCATATGGCTTCCCTCAAGCGTATCCTTCGCCACATTTGTGGCACTCTCGATCACGGCCTTCAGCTCTCCCCCAATCCGGACCTCTCCCTTATCGCTTACTTCGACGCCGATTGGGGTGGCTGCCCTGACACTCGTCGTTCGACATCGGGCTATTGTATTTTCCTCGGCAACAACCTCATCTCTTGGTCCTCCAAACGACAGGTCACTACTTCACGATCGAGTGCGGAGGCCGAATATCGAGCTATCGCAAATGCCGTCGCCGAAACGACTTGGTTACGCAACCTACTTTCTGAGTTGCTCTGCCCACTTTCGAAAGCCACTATTGTCTACTGTGACAACGTCAGTGCCGTCTACCTATCCAGCAATCCTATTCAACACTCTCGTACGAAACATGTGGAGATCGATATCCACTTTGTCCGAGACAAAGTTGCTTTAGGACACGTTCGAGTTCTTCACGTCCCATCCGCCTACCAGTTTGCCGATATCTTCACGAAAGGACTCCCTACTCAACTGTTCCAACAGTTTGTCTCCAGTCTCCCGTCCTCTCCTTTCCCGTTTCGACTGCGGGGTGTATTAGCGTATATATTATATATATTACGTATACTATTATTATTCTTATTTATTATAGTTACCTTGCATAATAGGTTACCTTGTGTAGTAGGTTATGGTTTTCTACATGTAACTATATATATGATTAATATACGTAAGAGATATCATTCGTTCTTTTCTCCAAATCTATTTCTCCTATAGAAAATGAAAAGACGAAGAGAGGGTACTCGTTGAATTGTATGTTCTCTAGACTCTTGTATATATTAAGCGCCAATGTGCCGCTGTATCTATTTATAATTTATGATTTCTCATCGTTGTGTAATTTTTGTTTCACCTCATAAAATTAATATGAAATACACTTCAAATATATATTTTGCATATTATTTTATAGTAATATATAATAAATGCAGTTGGATTTATGAGTATTGTGCATCTTATCTTACGTTAATATATTTTCGAAAATCTTAGTTACTAAATTTTGTAAAAAAATTCAAAAAAAATGCGAATTAGTTTATTAATTAATGATTTTAAAGAGAGCATGTAATCATAAATAAAAAAGTTCAAAGCTAAGAAAATAAAATTCACTTACAAGTGTTTGCTTGCGTCCGTCAAAGGCCATTGCATAGAAATTACGCGCTTGAGCGTCACACCTTGCCATTAATTGAATAGCATAGATCTTGAAAAATAATGAAAAAATTATGCACACAAACGAAATGAAAACTAATTAAATGAAGCGAGCGAGTTGATCGGAAATGGGATTAAGATTGGAAGATTTATGTGGTAAAATTATCTAGCGGTGCGGTGGCGGCGGGCTGGTAGCGTTGCATTGAGTTTTACGACTCACAACATTTTTTTTGGTAATGTGAAAAACAAGACAAGAGTATGAAGAGAGGAGGCAAGAGTTTAATTCATTAAAAAATAGTATGCCAAAGAAGAGTATTTATGACGATTATTGGTATTGATAAATAATATTTGTTGGCGGCGGAGAGAGATGTCGTCTATGGTTTTTTTGTCTGAACGAAGATGTCATCTAGGGTTAGCTAATTTATTTTGTATGAAGAGAGAGGAGGAAATATTTTAATTTATTGAAAAATATTATGCCAAAGAAGAGTATTTATAGCTATCATTGGTATTGATAAATAATATTGTTTAGCGGCGGAGATGTTTGTTTAGCGGCGGAGATGTCGTCCAGGGTTTTTTTCTCCGAGCGAAGATGTCGTCTAGGATTAGCTAATTAAATAAATAATGCTTTATGATAAATCATGTCAATAACCGATTTGGAGTCCGACTCCACAGTATCTTGCTCAAATCCCATCTCCTGACATATTCTTAGCCCATCTAGAATTGCATGTGCTTCTGGGATAATGTGAAAAGCCTTGAATAAACGACCCATTGTGGTCCTTAATTAATAGTCCCACCACCCGAACATGTTGCCCCTTTCCTTGAGCCATCGATGTTTACCTTAGCTTGAAGTGGTGTCGGGGGATTCCACTTAATCCAACGGCCCCTATTTAACGTAGGCTCCTTCACCTCCAAATTTAGATGTTGAATAATAATTCGACCCATTGTCTTCATCCGGAACTGACCCACGAAAGCTTCGTTCAAAGCTCGAAGATACGGAAATATATTGCGAATAATAGTGGCCGGTGTTCATCGGATCGGAATATCCTCAGATGGACTTACACCGACTCTTCCAAATCTCCCAGCAACCGAACATGAGGACTCCAAGCTCCATATTACCATCCTGGGTGTTAATAGTAGCCTCGGTCATCCAAACTTGCATAAGATGATGCACAGACCCATAGATGGTTTCTGCCATATCCTTGCTTAATTACTCCAAACGCCACGAGCTATATCAGATTGGGCGAACAAGAGTGAGAGAGTTTCTTGTTTAGGGGTTGCACAACACCGGCATTTGGAAGGGGCCATGCAATCCCACCTATAGGAAGAATAGAAAAGGAGAAGGAGAGAAATAATAATACGTAATAGAATAGAAACCCCCATTGTGTTATGGGTTGATTACATGGAATATATATAGAGAAATATTGTAAGGTAATAGAGTTTGACTAGGCAACTAAATCCTAACTAATCTAGGTAACCGAATCATACTAGAATCCTAATATCCTACAGTATCTAATATAATAATATACTCTAATACGCCCCCGCAGTCGAAACGTGACGAACGTGAAGACTGGACAATCACTTGCTAGCACGCTCCCGCAGTCGGAACGAATAAACTTCAAACGTGAAGACTGGACAAAAAAACCCGCAAAATCCAGCAGTAGTGAAATCCTAGGCGAAAGTATCTGCCAAATTAAATAGAAAAAAAAAAATAATAATAATAACAATGGAGATATATTTTTTTTTATATATATATATATATATTTTTTTTTATGTATGAATCGAGAGAGAGAGGGAGAAGATATGAGAGGGGTCGCCGGCCATGGAGAAGAAGAGAGCAGCGGCTAGGTTTTAGGCCATGGAGAAGAAGAAGAAGAAGAAAAAGATAGAGAAGATACACCACCGAGAGAGGGAGAAAATTCGATTTGGTGGTCGCCGGCCATGGAGAAGAAGAGAGGCGACGGCTAGGTTTTAGGCCATGGAGAAGAAGAAGAAGAAGAAAAAGAAGAAGAAGAAAAGGATAGAGAACCACCGGGGGAGGGAGAAAATTTGGGTGGTGTTCATAGAAAAGATAGAAAAGATAGAAAAAGAAAGATATTAAGAGTACCACCACCGGGGGAGGGAGAAAATCGGGTGGTCACCGCCATGGAGAAGAAAGGCGGCTAGGTTAAAAAACCTGGTGCTCTGATACCATATAGGAAGAATAGAAAAGAAGAAGGAGAGAAATAATAATACGTAATAGAATAGAAACCCCCATTGTGTTATGGGTTGATTACATGGAATATATATAGAGAAATATTGTAAGGTAATAGAGTTTGACTAGGCAACTAAATCCTAACTAATCTAGGTAACCGAATCATACTAGAATCCTAATATCCTACAATATCTAATATAATAATATACTCTAATACCACTATCTAGCGGAATCGCGCCATAAGAATGTTTCCTGAAAAAGGCACTGATGTTGTGGGGGATTTTAGGGTGCCAATTTCTTTTCGCCAGAGGATTCATAGGAGTTTTAGGTCCCAATAATTGGCAACCTTAAAATTTCCGGAGATCGAGTGCTTAAATATTAGTCTATCCTCTGTCCGATCGTCCAGCTCTATGAGATCAAAACGCCTTTGCTGCTCCGGCTGGAGGTGAGATTTATAAAGTATTGGGGTTGATTCTTAGCTTCGCGAAAGAGGGTGGAACGAGTTTCATCTAGGCAGTCTTCGTCAAGCCACTGATCTCTCCAAAAATCTGTGTTCCCTGCTCTCACGATCCAACGACTATGGTTATCCAAGAACTGAAGTTGCTGGAACAATTATCAGCAAAGTAAAGAAGCATGTGTTGGAATTGGATCTCGGAACTTAATTGTAGCACCCCCTTCTAATCGGACGATAAATCGAACCGGTTTATCGGAATGTTCATTTATATAGTGGAAGCAAAAGGGTCTCTTTGTAATTTACAAAACTTTGGAATGGGACTAAAATGCAATTATTAAAAATCTCTTCTTTAGAATATTTGAAACCTTTGTGATTTTCGAAAAACTTTCTTAGGAGTACTTTAGTCGACTAAATGTTCGTTTGAAAACAATTTCGAGAGGAGGAGTTTCTTTCGAGTGCTACACTATCAAAAACTTTTTTATTATCGGTTCGAACTAGAAATCAGAGTTTTAGAAATATTTTTGGTGAGAATTAAAGACATAAATAAAACTAACTATTTTATAAATATAAAAGGATCTAGAATAAGGTTCAAAATAAGATCCGTACCGAAAGAGTTCATTCCTCTAGTGAGGAATACGGTAACCAACTTAAACGAGAAGGAAATTGTCTTTATAGTTATACATCACCAAAATACATATAATTATGCATCGTTTATAGAGCCCCCATACGAACTTCCAAAGAAACCCGGGCAAGACCTCGACACGCTACTCGATCCATTCCTACGGAGGATTGCTACTACTATTACCTGCAATCAAAAGGTATCTATATGAGCTTAGCTCAATAAGAAATTCTAGTAATTATCGAACTTTAGAAATAAGTGTATATATATATATATATTATACGTCACTTTAATCACCTTCATTCATCATCCAAACACAACTGAATATTCAAATAAGCACACAAGTCACAAAGCACATTATTTTCACGTTAAACACATCGTTATGCTAAAATGACTAAAATGCCCTTGTATGCAAATTGTGTAAAAATCTTTTTCGTTTTATCTGATCCGTGAAAAATTAATTTCCATACTCGGACAATAAACCGTTACGAGCCCGTTCTTGGTGGATTCAAACCACCCTTCTTTAACCTAATTGGATACCGGCCCACCGTATCCATTGTTTATTCAGCCAAGTATTTCGTTAATTTTTCAAACTCTCAAAAGCTCGTGAAGTGCATAAATGCTAGACTTCCTAAATGGACACAGTGAAATTAATATTTAAATATCACATAACTACATAAACATCTATAATTCACTTATCAGACTAATTAAATAACCATTAATGTATCTCAATCACACACACACTGCATACACGCGGTGCACATACCTACACACACATACCATGCAACCATCATCAACAACACATATATTAATTAGCCAAATCATGCTTGTAAAGCAAAGGCACTCCTTTTCCAAAATTTAATGAGTTTTTCTTGTCACTTTTAGACATTTAACTCACCCTAAAAAATTCCAACAACATATGAAACATGTTCCTACTGTAAATTAAAAATTATAATCCCATGATTCATCATTATAGCACACCATGGCAAAGAAGTAACAATTAAATCACAAGAACATCATAAATAACACCTAAATCATTAAATTTCGAAATAATAGTAAATGAGTTCCAAAAATTCTCAAATTATATTATAAGACTCTTAACTGACTAAGTTTCAAGATTATGAAATTAGTTTATAGTTTTAAAAAGTTTCGAATTTGTTTATAAATAAAAATTTAGAAGATGCTTTTCTTGACCAAACATTGATTTCTTTCATAGATTTAAATAAATCATGAATCTTTCCCACATAAAATTATTTACCACTTACTACTTCCTGTAAAACAAAGTCTAAACTTAACTTGGGGCTGAACTTTTGAAAAATTACAGATTTGATCCAAAAGTTTCTAGATTTACACATGCAACCCACTAGAAGTTCAAAAATCCCTTTTTCTTAGAAACCCTTTTGAAAATCCAAAATATTTACTTAGTAATTACTGGAAAAAAAAGTTGAAAACTTAATAAGAGCTGATCTTTCGAAAATTGCAGATTTGGCCCCAAGTTTCTAGATTTACACATGCAATCCACTAGAAGTTCAAAAATTCATTTTTCTTAGAAACCCTTTTGAAAATCCGAAATGTTTGAGACCTTAACCAAATAAAACTTTTATCTGCTTATTATAAACATAAAAAAGACATGCAAGAACAAGAAATTAAAGATCAACACAACTTTTCCATTTTTAAAACTTTCTTAGAAACCCTTTTGAAAATCCGAAATCTTTGAGACCTTAACCAAATAAAACTTTTATCTGCTTATTATAAACATAAAAAAGACATGCAAGAACAAGAAATTAAAGATCAACACAACTTTTCCATTTTCCCCCCAAAAGCCCTAATTTTCGAAAATCTTTTGAGTCTTTTAGATAACTGTTGGGTGCTAAATACCAACACGCAAGTGTACGTATCGCAAACAAGTAATAAAGTGGACTCGTGAGAGTCGGATGTCGATCCCACAGGGAATACGTAAATTATTTAATCCTAAGTACCAAATTTTAACAATTACGATTTTTATCCAGCCTACGCAGGGTTGTCAATTTAATTAACTAAATAAATTAAAATAATTAAGAAAGCAAGTAATCACGAGAAAATATCAATAATAAACGGATCTAGGATTTTATCTTCCCCCTATGCGATAATTCTTCACCCGATTAATCTCCTATCATGCAAGTTACGATTCCCGATTATTAACCCAAGACACGAAATTATTCATAACCAGCTGTCGCTGCGCTATAAACCTATTATTCATAAAAGATTCACTATATGTCTATGCAAACCTAGTATAAATAAAGCATTAAATATCAAGTCTCGCAAAACGGCTACCTAAGGTATTATCTGTATGTCTACGATAATACATGCAATTAACACACGCATTCGGTGAATAACTACTCGAAGGCTCTTCTATCCCTGTTCTAATTATTAAAACGATCTGTCAATCAATTCTAACAATAACAAATAGCAACATAAGTTAGCTACGCTCATGCACTAAATAAGATCAAGATAGAAGAAATAATCGAAGAATTAAACTTGCATAAAAGTAGAAAAAGAGGTTCGAATCACCACATAGGGTTCCAATAAAATCCTAGAATAAAAACTTAGCTACTCATGTTCGTAACGAAAAACATAATAAAAATACGAAAAATCATAAAAGCGATAAATAACAATAAAGGAGGGGAACTATGATGAAGATTCGTCAAGTCTTCGTCTTCGTTCTTGTGCTCCTTGATTGCGTGTAGAAAGATGAAAAACTAAAAACCTAAAATAAAGATAAAAAGTAAAAGACAAAAGATAGGTCTAATTGTGTGCTTGTGGCCTTTAAATAGGGTGCAAAACTATAATAGGGCGGGTTTCCTTGTGTAATTAAAATTCCTTCACTGCGCCATCACGCCCATCCGGACGGCCGTGTGAGATTTTGAACTAAAATCCGCACGGCCGTGCGGTCTTTGATTCTCCAGATTTCTGATTTTTTCACTTTTGGCCCACTTTTTCTCTGAATTTGCAGTTTTCACCCCAAAAGTTGCCAATTCTTCAATTTGCACCTAAAATACAAATAATAGCCATATTAAGCACCAATTATCGTAAAAACACATCAAAAGCTCCAATTAAAAGGTACAATTAAGTGTATAAATATACACTTAACAATAACCTTGAAAACTCTATTTAATAATATTGATACCTTCTAATTGCAGCAAGAAATCAAAATTTCTTTCCTTTATGGAATAGAAAATAAAAAGACTCAAGATGGCTTCAAGAAATTCCACTATGATGAGATGTGGGTTTTTATGGAGTTCTTGGGGGAACTCTAGAGATACGGCTATGGAGAGGATTTGAAGAAGAAAATGGAACTTGAAATAATTGTAGTGGAAATATGAAAATATGGATAATATTTCATGGTGGATTATGGTGGTGTTTGTTTTGGCCGAGAGAATAAGAGGAGAGAGAGAGAGGAGCATTCTTCATATGCTTGGGTATGAATGATGGTGGGGATGTTACGGTGGTGGTAATAAAAGGAGAGAGAAGAGATTAGTCATTACTAATAGGGGATGAGTAGTGGAAAAGTGTAGTGGCTATGCCACACAAAAAGAGGAGGTGTGACAAGTGGAAGAGGCATGCAAATATAATTCCCTTATTTATTTATTTTAATTACACCACTTGCATCATACACACAGTTTATATATATATATATATATATATATATATATATATATATATATATATATATATATATATATATATATATATATATATATATATTTTGTATATATATGTGTATGTGTGTGTGTGTGTGTGTGTGAGAGAGAGAGAGAGACACATATAGACACAAACACAAAAAATATGTGTGTATGTATATATATATATATATATATATATATATATATATATATATATATATATATCTTATACACACACACACACACATATATTCACACGCATATACAATATCACATTCACATAATAACACTCACACATACACATTCTCACTCTAGGTTTTTAAATTTGTAGAGTTGTGGTTTTAAAATTGGGCGGTGTCAAGAAAAACACAGATAAAGAGAGAGAGACTCACACACAGAGAGTCTCACCCTCAGAGAGAGAGAGA